AGTACAGTGTGTCTTTTTCGCATCTTGGATACTTCACTGTAGTAGAATAGTCCAGCTCTATCCAGCGAAAGATACAAGAGCGTACTATCACCATTGTTTCTTCTTCTTTGTGTTTTTTTTTGAACAGAGTCTCACTTGTTGCCGAGGCCTAATCCGCAGGTTGTCTGGCCTGGCGTCACCGTGACCTCACAACCTCCAAATCCCTGGCCGTCAAGCGATCCTTCATTTCTTGAGCGAAATACTGATAAATGTTTTAAAAATTTAAATTTTTAATTCATTTTAAGCAGACGGTGCATCTGGCCTCTGGTTGCCGGGTGGCGTACAGTGGGGATGATTATAGCTCACTTGCAGCCTTGAACTCGCAGGTCCTCCGGCCGGTGGTGTGGCGCGCAGAAGTAGACTACCCAGCCAACACAGCGGCGCGCCGCGGTAATCTTAACAAGTTTGTTGAGTGGTCTGGTTGTAGGCTATCCAAACTCCTGGCCTCACAAGGATTCTTTGTCTCGCTTCCCAAATGCTAGGAATTACAGATTAAGCGCCGGTCTGCCTTACCCTCCCTTTAAACGATCTCTCTTAAAAAAAAAAAAAAAAAAAATTAAAAAAGACTTAAAAAACCCAGAGATTAGCATAGTGGGGAAAAAAGCACTACCCAACTAGATGCTGTCTACAAGAAACTCACTGCAAATATAATGCTATAAGTAGGTTGGAAGTAAAAAAAAGTGGAAAACAATGTAACATGCAGGAATTAAAAGAAAGCAGGAGTGACTAAATTAATATCAGGTAAAGTAGACCTCAAAGCAAAGAAGATTGTCAGGGATTCCATCAATTATTGAGAGAAAATTATTGAATTTCCTAACTGTAATTATAGATTATTCACCCTTCCTGTTTTATATTAGTTTTTACTTCAGGTATTTTGCAGCTCTGTTATTTGATGCATATACATTTGGGATTAATATGTTGTCTTGGTTAATTGGCCCTTTTATTTTTGTACAATATTCCTTGGTCCCTGGTAATCTTCTTTCCTCTTTTATATCCTTTCTGAATTTCAGTGTAGTGGTTCCATCAATTAATGAGAGAAAATTGTTGAATTTCCTGACTGTAATTATAGATTATTCCCCCTTTCTATTATATTAGTTTTTACTTCAAGTATTTTGCAGCTCTGTTATTTGATGCATACACATTTAGGATTAATATGTCATCTTGGTTAATTGGCCCTTTCATTTTTGTGTAATGATCATAACCAGTTTTATAAATTGTCCTTTATAAAACATTGTACCCAACAGAGAATAATACACATTCTTTTCAAACAGGCATGGAAGATTCACCAAGACAGACTATATCCTGTATCATAAAACAAACTTTAACGAATGTAAAAGAATAAAGAACATATGGAGTATGCGCTCTAACCATAATTGACTTAAAATAGAAATCAATAACAAAAAGATCACAATAAAATCTCCAAACATTTGGAAATTAAATACTTTTTTTTTGAGACAGGGTCTTGCTCTGTTGCCTAGGCTAGAGTGTAGTGGTGCAATCATTAGCTCATTACACCCTTGAACTCCTGGTCTCTGGTGATACTGCTGCCTCAGCCTCCTGAGTAGCTGGGACTACAAGTACACATCACCACGCCTGGATAATTTTTATTTTTTGTAAAGACAGAGTCTTGCTACTGGCCAGGCTGGTCTCAAACTCCTGGGCTCAAGTGATTCTCCCACCTCAGCCTCCCAAAGTGCTAGGATTACAGACATGAGCCACCACACCTGGCCTGGAAATTAAACACACTTTAAAATAATCCATGATTCAAAGAGGAAAAGGAAATTAAAAAGTATATGGAACTGAATGAAAATGAAAATCAAACTCTGTGGGTTGCAGCTAAAGCAGTGCTTAGTGAGGGAATTTAGAGCATCAAATGCATATATTTAAAAAGAAGAGAGGTCTCAAATCAATCAAGCTTCTATTTTAAGACACTAGAAAAAGAATAAAATAAAGCAAGCAGAAATAAAGATAAAGATAGGAGCTGACAGATAAAATTGAAACCAGCAAAAGTAAAAAATGAAACCAAAAACTATTTGAAAAGATAATTAAAATTGATAAACCTCTAGTAAGACTTACAAAGAAAAAAGAGAAGGCACAAATTACCAATATCAAGAATGAAGTAGTTGAAATCAGAACTGATTCTGCAGACATTGAAAAGATTGAAAAGAACAGACTTATATACACAAGTTTGACAAGATAAAATGATAAAATGACTAATTTCTAGAAAATCACAAACTATCAAAATTCACCCAGCATTAAATAGATAATCTGAATAGTATTGTAACTATTAAATGTTTAGTTAAAAATTTTCCAAAAAACAAAAAAGAAAGTGATCTCTAGGTGCAGATGGTTTAAATAACACCAATCCTACACAATCCTTTCCAGAATATGGAAGATGAGAACACTTCCCACTCATCTTATGGGGCCAGCATTATTCTAATACCAAAATGAGACAAAGATCATTTTTTAAAAAGCCTACAGACCAATATCCTACATGAACACAGAAGCAAAAATCATCAACAAAATATTAACAAATGGAATTCAGCAATATGTAAATGAATACTACAAAATGACCAAGTGGGGTTTATTCTAGGAATGCAAGGCTGATTCAATATTCAGAAACCAATCTATCCAAAAAATAAATGAAGAAAATTCCTTTTACAACATAAAAAATTATATACTTAATAAATTTAACCAAGGAAGTGAAAGATCTGTGGACCAAAAACTATAAAATATTAAGAAACTGAAGACATAAATAAATGGAAAGCTATCCTATCTTCATAATTTAGAAGAATATTGTTAAAATGTCTATACTACACAAAGTGATCTATAGATTCATTGCAATCCCTATCAAATTTTCAATGACACTTATAACAGCAATGGGAAAAACAATCCTAAAATAAGTATGGAACCACAAAAGACCCCAAATAGATTTAAAAAAAAAAAAAAAGACTGCTTTGAGACAGTGTCTCACTTTGTTGTCCAGGCTAGAGTGAGTGCCATGGCATCAGCCTCACTCACAGCAATCTCAATCTCCTGGGCTCAGGCGATCCTACTGCCTCAGCCTCCCAAGTAGCTGGGACTACAGGCATGTGCCACCATGCCCGGCTAATTTTTTCTATATATATTTTTAGTTGGTCCATAACTTCTGTTTCTATTTTTAGTAGAGACAGGGTCTCGCTCAGGCCTGGTTTCGAACTCCTGACCTCCAGCAACTCTGGCCGCCTCGGCCTCCCAGAGTGGCTAGGATTACAGGTGTGAGACCACCACACTGCCACGTTAAACCAATCTTGAGAAAGAAAAGCTAAGCTGGAGGCATCACACTATTTGGTTTCAAAATATATTATAAAACTATAGTAATCAAAACAGCATGGTATTGGCATAAAAGCAGGTACATTGACCAATGGAACAGAAGAGTGAGCCCAGAAATAAACCTACACCTTTAGAGTCCATTTTTGACAAAGGGTCAAATACCAGCTCTGGGAGGCTGCTCTCACTCTGTTGCCCAGGCTAGAGTGATGTGATCGTCGGCTTTAGCTCACAGCAACCTCAACTCTTGGGCTCAAGCAATCCTCCTGCTCAGCCTGCCGTCGCTGGCCTACGCGCTCCTCCCACATCCCAGCTAATTTTTTCTTTGTTTTCTCGTGCGCCATTAATCTCTCTCTCTCTCTCTCTCTAGCAAATGGGGTCTACCCTTGTACAGGCTGGTTTCCAACTCCCCTCCCCGCAATCTGCCACTCAGCCTCCCCCGCCCAGTGGCCTAGGATTCGCGCTCCCCCCACGCACCGAGCCCATTTACATTAAAATTAAAAAAATATATACACTTATTTATATGCTCCAAGAAGCCAGATGAGGCTTGCCGCGTGCTGGAGGTGGGATGGGCTGCAATGGGGCATGAGGAAACTTTGGGAGTGATGTTCCACGGTTTTATTGTGCTTCTGATTATAGAATTTTACATTTTTACCAAACAAACTTTGTTGGAACAACATGAATTGGTTTTGGCAAAATAAAATTCTTCTCTGCCTTGTAAAAAAATTCAGATAGATAAAAGATACAAAGTTATACAGTACCGGACACCTGACATGATGGGGCAGTATTAGAAATTATCGAAAGGAAATGAGTATTTATGATTGGTGTAGGCTAAGATTAGATACGATACATGCAACAAAAAACATGAAAGTATGCTAAACATAATTGCATCTATTTAATTGTAACATTTTTGCCTCAAAAACACCAGAAATAACTCATCTTAACATAGAAATTGCACCTCTATAAAACATTGACAGCTGCACGATACTCCATTTCAATTACTATAGTAATTTGGGTGGTTGTTTGGGTGGTTAAGTAGTTTCCAGCATTTAGCAGTCACAAATGACACTGTAATAAATGGCCAATGTATTTTTAATCATTGGATTACCTTCAGAGTAAATTCCTTTTAGTGGCATTGGCAATTCAAAGGGTATATGTATTTTGTTAGATATTGCAAAAAACGCGCTATAAACATTACAATGACAAATAGTCTGAAAGAAAATATTTGTAAAGTATATAAAAGACAAAGACTTCTATGTATGCTATGTAAAATCTCAAGGAAAATAATTTAAAGGCAAGCAAACCAGAGGGAAAATTAGCAATTTTGAGATAAAGGCAGCTCAGTAAAGAAGCAACCCAGATGATGAATGAACTCAGAAAAAGTACAGACCTTCAAGTAAAGATAGGATATTGAGGATATAGTCTTCCATACACTGCTTGTGGGAGTATAAATTGACAGCCACTTTGGAAAGTCTTTGGACATCTATTGCAAGTTCTGTGACTTCCAAGAACTAGCAATTCTCTTTCCAGGCATAAGTTTATTCCTATCTATCCTCAATCAGAATCGTGGGATAAAAACCTACTCGCCCTTTATCTCAAATGTGGAACTTACAAATCTTCAGGGAGAGTTTAGGCCACAAAGCAGAGCTTACCGCATCGGCCACGGCTCACAATACTGCCCGCGTCCCAGGTGATAGCAGCTCTTGAGGTAGGGACAGCCGCCTTTCTCCTCCCACATGTACACGTGCAAAGAGTCGTCCATGGATGCAGTGAGGACATGGAGCGAATCCTTCAAAGGACACCCTGAGTGAGTGGCCACAAAGTCAGAGTCAGATGGAAAGCAGTGGGAGGCGAAGGGTCATACGCACCACCCACAGGTTGACGATGAGCGTCTGGTGGTGCTGCAGCTGTTGCAGCTGGAGGCCGTCGATGGTGAAGAGGAACAGGTACAGCCCACTCGTGCAGACGATCAGGCCTTCAGCCGCGGCTGCCATCTGCAGAGGACTCCTCACGCCAACTGCCAGCTGGAAATTTGCGACCTGATGCGCTGTTTTCACACAAAACACATACGTGCACACACACACACACACACACACACACGCAGGTAAACATGGAATCATTTCGTCAGAACAACATCCTTACACTGAATGGAAAAACATACTCCCTACTCCCATGGGACTTCAGCCCTGTGAGGAAAACAGGGTAGTCCGGTGGCCCGACAGCACGTCTGACCACAATCGCGGGGGCCATGTCGCAGGCACAGAAGGCTGTGGACGACAAATAGCAGCTCGGGCATCGTGGGAAGGCCTGTGGTGGGACGGGGCATTAGAATCCAGGCCCTGACACCTGAGGGAGACCTCAGCACGTGTGCCCAGGAGAGCAGCGGTCAGCGTGGGTGCTAGTGTCACACCCGCGTGGCCTCAGCCCCAGCCAAAGAAATCCCCTGCTCCCTTTCCACAGACGGACCCACCGACATGAATCCACAGCTGAACGCCAATGCGCGTGATAAGGAAGAGGAGCAAGCGCCTGACGTGCCCTCGGCTACCTCGGATGACCGTGTGGCCCTCAGTGCTCTTGGTTGCTAGATCGAAGGTGGTGAACCCCATCGCCTTGTCAGCGCCTCTCTGGAACATCAGTGTGATCCTGCTTTCCGCCCTTGGGGTCCAGCAGGCGCTGCAGCACGACGTGCACGGGAGCTCCAGAGACAGGGGGACGCTGTCCTCCGACGGCTTCAGTAAGCTCTCTGCGAGAAATACCTGAGGAGACGGTGTCACACTGGTCATCAGGTGAACGGGGAAGTTGTGCCATCTTGGTGCAGAAGTGACTCCAGAAAAACCTCCTTAAAAATAATCCCCATCCTGGCCGGGCGCGGTGGCTCACGCCTGTAATCCTAGCACTCTGGGAGGCCGAGGCAGGAGGATCGCTTGAGCTCAGGAATTCCAGACCAGCCTGAGCCACGAGTGAGACCCCCGTCTCTACTAAAAATAGGAAGAAATTAATTGGCCAACTAAAAATTATAGAAAAATTAGCCGGGCATGGCGGCATGCTGTAGTCACCAGCTACTCGGGAGGTCTGAGGCAGAAGGATCACTAGAGCCCAGGAGTCTGAGGTTGCTGTGAGCTAGGCTGATGCCACAGCACTCTAGCCCAGGCAATAGAGTGAGACTCTGTCTCAAAAAAAAAAAAAAAAAAAGAAAGAAATTGGCCAACTAAAAATATATAGAAAAAATTAGGCGGGCATGGTGGCACATGTTTGTAGTCCCAGCTACCCGGGAGGCTGAGGCAGGAGGATTGCTTGAGCCCAGGAGTTTGAGGTTGCTGTGAGCTAGGCTGACGCCATGGCACTCTAGCCGGGCAACAGAGTGAGACTCTGACTCAAAAAAAAAAAAAAAAAAAAAAGGCCCCATCCTGTGGCCAAAGCTCTATTTTGCATCTCAGGAGGGGTTGAGCAATTGCTGCTCGTCACTTCAACATACAGGGAACTGTCTATCCACTCCGTCACGTTCACAGGTAGAAAGGAGTCCCTGAAGCACGGCAATGGCAAGAGGTTACGAAACCCCCTTGCCACATTGAACGCCTGATCTAGTTGAGGTTGATGCTTTTGGAGCACTAGTCAAGGGCTGTTTTGCTTTTACTACCTCTTGTCTTAACTCCTTGCTCTTTGGTGCCCAGTCCATGGGTGCCATGCTACAGATGGCCTGCTCAGAGGCCAAAGACTTCCTCAGAATGACAGAGCTGATGTGGATTTATTTACTTGTGGGCTTCTCTGTGCTTTCCAGCCAAGGCAGATAAAAGGAAAGCAAGGAAAGCAAAAGTGAACAAGGTTACCAAAGATCCCAATTTCTTGATACCTCTTTTCAACCTCTTTCATCTCTGCAGATTCAGGCTTCCTGAACAAATTTTCTTTAACAAACATTTGCCGTGGCAGCTGGGTATGATCGTTTGACAGAACATTGTTTCCCGACCGTATGATGCATTCCCCTTGTGATATGGTCTTAGAGAGGAAGGAGCAGTATATGCCTGGTCCTCACTGACCTCTGTAGTTTCTCTAAATATTTTTTAACCTGACCTTCCTCATGCTTGAGCCCCGCATCTGGAAGTTGTGGCACACAGAGCCGCACCTACCTTTGGCAAGATGTGTTCATGTATCCCACACGCAAAGACCCATTTCTTGTCAGGAGAGCAATGTAGAAGATTAACACTATGTTGAAATGCATTGACTTTTGAAATATTCTTTAACCCAGGCAATGCAAACGCGTAGATGTCCCCTCCAGAATCGCCAACCTGAAACGAAAGCATCCTTGCCATAGCAACAGAGAGAAACGTAAAATCCTAAAGTACACAGGAGGCAGCACTGTCTGCTGCAAGATATGCCACGTAAGGAAGATCAGAACCTCTGGGCAGCCGGCCTCACACATTGTTGGGATGATCCCATAGAATAAAATTTTCTAAGCCCCAAAGCACTCTTCTCAAGGATAGTTATTCATTAGCATATTAACACTATACTTTTTCTCAAGGTCTCCCCAAACCCATCTCTCCTTCCACTGTCCCTGTTCAAGTTCATGGATTATACAGCAACACACACTTGAAAGAAGAGTGATATATGATATAATTCAGGAAGTTTTCTGCTTCTTTTTTCTTTTTTTAAAGAATGGCTGAGGAGGCTGGGCGTGGTGGCTCACATCTGTAATCCTAGCACTCTGGGAGGCTGAGGTGGGAGGATCACTCAAGGTCAAGAGTTCAAAACCAGCCTGAGCAAAACAGAGACCCCGTCTCTACTAAAAATAGAAAGAAATTAATTGGCCAACTAAAAATATATAGAAAAACTTAGCTGGGCATGGTGGCGCATGCCTGTAGTCCCAGCTACTCGGGAGGCTGAGGCAGCAGGATTGCTTGAGCCCAGGAGTTTGAGGTTGCTGTGAGCTAGGCTGACGCCACGGCACTCTAGCCAGGCAACAGAGTGAGACGGTCTCAAAAAAAAAAAGAATGGCTGAGGAAATGTACTTGAGTTAGGTCAAAGGCCAAGACGGTATGGAAGTTTGTATGGCAATATCCCTTGGAATATTGTGACTGACTCTCAGGGTATGTGGAAGGATCGACTCCAAGATGACAGATTGGGATGTGACAGTAATGGGAACTTGACACCTGTCAAGGCAGCAGACATTTTAATTTGTGGGCCCCTTCCAGATTCAGGGCTCACTTACCATTAGGAATGGCCCATCCTTTGAAAGAAAAGCTTCCATGGAAGAACAGGCCCGCGGCATGGCAAACACAGCCAGAGCCTCCCTGTCCTGACAATTCCACACTTTGATAGTCCCCTTGGTATCCAGAGTGATTGCGAGATTCATCTGAGGGATTGTTGCCAGATACTCGATTCTGGACCACTGGGCTGGGCTCGACCACAGCACGACGCCCTGGAGAACGAGAGTAACACTGTGTCCAAGGAGCTCTTCGTACCTACTGTGCTTTCTTTCTGCCCATGTACATTTGGAAGCCTCTTCAAAATCAGATCCATTTCTTGCTTCTGGGAAAAGGATATGAAAATTCTAAACGTTTCAATTATTTGCAGTCAGTGAACATGAAAACAGGAACTGTGCAATATACTCAAAGACAGGAACTCACTACATGACAGGCATAAAGAATGATCAGACTTCTTGGGCTCGAATCAGTCCTGCCTCTTACGAACCATGCAACATTCAGCAAGGCACTTACTCTCATGGCTTCTTGGCTTCGTATGGGGCTGTTATTACATTTCACAACACATGAAACATACTTAGAATTCTGCCTAGGACACAGTAGGAGCTCAAAAGGTATTACCTATAATGCAAATTGTTATTCCATCATCAACTTTGTACATTGCAAACAAGACAGAATAGTTTCCTTTCTAGACTTTTCTTCAGCCTTCTTGAGAAAAATGTGAAGTATATAATAAAGAGTAAAAACATAAATGTAAAGTTTAATAAATTTTTATTAATATAAGTGAATACCAATGTACTACTTCTAAGCCCTCCCCAAATCCCCTTTGCACTTATTCAATTTAATAATCCCTCCAAGCCAGGAGTGGTAGCTCAGGCCTGTAACCCTAGCACTCTGGGAGGCCAAGGTGGGAGGATCACTTGAGGTCAGGAGTTTGAGACCAGCCTGAGCAAGAGTGAGACCTGGTCTCTACTAAAAATAGAAAAAATTAGCTGGGCGTGGTGGCATGTGCCCATAGTCCCAGCTACTTAGGAGGCTGAGGCAGGAGGATCACTTAAGCCCAGAAGTTTGAGGTTGCTGTGAGCTAGGCTGATGCCACAGCACTCTAGCCTGAGCAACAGAGTGAGACTCTGTCTCAGAAAAATAAAATAACCCCTCCATCCCTCTCAAATGTAATTACTACTTTGATTCCTAACACTATAACAGGTTTCCTGTGTAGTGATATCTATTGCCATGCAGAAAATGCTCTCAAGATTTAGTGGCTTAAAACAAGCTTAATTTCAAAGTTTGTGTTGGTCAGAAATTCAGGTGCAGGTTGACAGAATAATTCTGGGTCTGAGGTCTCTTGAGGTTAAAGTCAAGTTTGAGTTTCAAGATGGCTCACTCATATGGCTGGTAAGTCAGTGTAGTCAACTGCCAGGAATCCTCAGTATCTCACCACACAGCTCTCTCTGGAGGCCTGCTTGAGTGTCCCTATAACATCGTGGCTGGGCAGTGGCTACCCAAGATCATGACTTCTATGGGCTAAGGAAATTGGGGTCATCTTAGAGATTGGCTGCCACAGTCTACCCTGTAGGCCCTAATTATTCACTTTCCTCCTATATGAAAAAACACTCACCATCTCCCAATGCCCCAAATGTCTCATACCATTATAGCATCATTGCAAAGTCTAGGATCTCATTGTTTAATTAGGACCAGGTGTACATGAATCTCTTTAGATTCAGTTCATCTTGATAGGAAAATCTTTGAACTAAATATACATATTATCTTCTTCCTATACCCCCAAAGTACAAGGGTAGGCATAGGATAACATAACCACTGTCATTCAAAATAGGTGAAAATTGGGGCTGGGTGCAGAGGCATATACCTGTAATCCTAGTTATTCAGGAGGCTGAGGTGGAAGGATTGCTTGAGGCCAGGACTTTGAGATCAGCCTGAGCAACATAATGAGAACCATCTGGGGGGGGGGGGAAGGCAAAAATAGAAAAACGGGGGAAGTGGGGAAGAGAAGCACCAGTGAATCCCCACTACACAGAAATTTTGAAATCCAGTACAGAACAATGACAGTTTTTTGATTAGGATTTAAGGCCTGAGAAAGATTCTTCATGACTCTTGGCTCTACTTTCTAGGTTCTTAGTTCCGTCTTCTGAGTCATCCTTCCCTTTCCATATATGGTGGCCCAATTTTGCAGCCAAGTAGCTTTTGTAGCCTGCTTCCTATCTGTAAAAGTTTGGGGATCCAAAGATTTTTTTTCCTTTTGTAATGTTTCAGCCCCTTTAAGCCCAAGCTGGCAGTGTTTCTGACAATGTAATTCTCTTAAAAACTTTGTGGATCTCTTAAGAATCTTATTGGAGCTTACACCCTAGACACAAGCCACACAAGTCTTTGTAATAAATCCTTTTATATCTTGGGCTTGTGCTGGGGGTGCTGAGGATAATGCCTTAAGCTTTTTAGAAGCCCTATTGCTTAACTGAACAGTTCTCTGAGGCACCTCCTTAGATCTTTCTAAAGTCTGACAAAGAATTTTGCAGCCACCCCTTTGGCCTCATCTTTATAATTTACTGGCACTCTCTGGATAGATCTTTTCTTGTAATCTATTTTTTTTTTTTAATTTCAGCATAATTTCCTATCTGGGTATTTTCAAAGCTAGCAATTTCTACTTCACTTTAATTTAGTAGTCTTTATCTTCTCTCTCTCCTCTTGTGTTTTACTATAAGCAGCAAGAAGCAACCACATTGAGAATGCTGCCTGGAAATCTCCTTAGTAAGATTACTCAATTCATTAAATACATTCCTAAATTTTCACCTCACCATGGATCACAGTGTTGTTAAACTTTTGCTGCCATATAACAAGGGTCCCTTTTCTTCCAGTGTCCAATAATATATATATTTTTGAGACAGTCTCACTCTGTTGCCCAGGCTAGAGTGCCATGGCATCAGCCTAGCTCACAGCAACCTCAAACTCCTGGGCTCAAGCAATCTTCCTGCCTCAGCCTCCCGAGTAGCTGGGACTACAGGCATGCGCCATCATGCCCGGCTAATTTTTTCTATATATTTTTAGTTGGCCAATTAATTTATTTCTATTTTCAGTAGAGACGGGGTCTCACTCTTGCTCAGGCTGGTTTTGAACTTCTGACCTTGAGCGATCTTCCTGCCTCAGCCTCCCAGAGTGCTAGGATTACAGGTGTGAGCCACCGCACCCAGCCTCAATAACATTTTTTACCCTTTCCTTTAAGTCCTGATGGCAGAGAATTCGATTTTTGCCAACAGTCTCTCCAAGGCCCAACACTCTCCTTAGAGTTTTTCCGACTTTCCATTGCCTGCTTTCAAGCCTTCTTTAACATTTTATGTTTTTGTTATGGCAGTGCCCGACTTCCAGGTAATGAAAACTATACTAGTTATCTCTTATTGCATAACAAGTTACTTAGCAACTTAAAGCAATAAACACGTTATCTCACACAGTTTCTGTGGGCCAAAAATTCAATGGTGGATTAACTGGGTGATTCTGGTGTAGGGTCTGATGAGGTCGTAGCAAGACATCAGCTAAGGCTCAACTAGGGCTAGAGGATCCGCTTCTAAGATGGTTCACTCACATGACTGCAGGTTGGTATTGGCTGTTGGCAGAAGATCTGAATTCTTTGCCAGGTGGACCTCTTCATTGGGCTGCTTGAATGTCCTCACATACATTCAATTTCTCCTAGAGGAAAATTATTCAAAAGATACCCTTCTAGATTTTTTTTTTTCTTTTTGAGACAGTGTCTCAATCTGTCACCCAGGCTGGAGAGCAGTGGCATGATCATAGCTTACTACAACCTCGAACTCCTGGGCTCAAGTGATCCTCCCACCTCAGCCTCCCAGATAGCTGGGACTATAGGTGCATGCCACCACGCCCAGCTAATTAAAGAAAATTTTTTTTTTGTAGAAACAGGGTCTTGCTATGTTGCCCAGGCTGGTCTGGAACTCCTGACCTCAAGTGATCCTCCCACTTTGTTCTTCCATAGTGCTGGGATTACAAGTGTGAGTCACTGCACCTGGCCCCCTTCTAGATTTTTAAGTCATTTCCCTGCCACCCCATATATTCATAAAATAGTATTTATCATACTTCAAAAGACCCTGAGTCAGAGTCATCCAATTTTTTTTTTTTTTTTTACAGGGAGGAAAAAAAATCCAAGAAAATACAATAATTTGGGACCCACTTTGGGATCTTCCAAATCCCTATTTCAGTGCTTCTTATGCTACTTGTCCCTATAAGACCTCTGTGCTTCTTGGAGGTCATTTGAGTTAGAGACCACTTTCTGAAAAAGCTCATATAATAAATGCCAAGCATTGACAAAAAGATGGTGATAAGGAGGCATATAGCCAAAAGATTGTTTCACAAGGTCACTTCATCTTACTGGTAGAAAGTAAGTCCTGGTACAAGTACATATATAGAAACATATTAAAAAGTGAATTCTCTATGTCTGTGATCTAAATGAAAAGGTTACAAATTACAACCTAGAAAATCTGCTTTGAAACTTTGTTTCTGTTACTACTTCTGAGTATCACTGTCTTTTAGCATTTCTGTTTTGCATGTGCAGCAGGGTGGACGCGGGTATGCATGACTTTCGCTACTCACTGGCCGGGCTCACCTCTTGCACATCCAAGGTATAAAACATGCACTTCGAAGACACAACACAAACAATTGACCTCTTTTGTCCATCCACTGTGAAGTCATTTCGTGAGAGATAAGCCACCTCTTCAAAGATTTCTAGAAGGAAACACAGAAAATACTTGGCCACTAGATAGTTGAGGGATGACCCAAACCAAATAAAGATACTTTTAAGTTTTCCTGTACTCTCACGGGAAGATGGAAATTGGGCTTCAAAGTCAGCCAAACATGGATTCCCTTTGCAGATTGGCCATTTGAGAGATACCGGCCAACTTGTTTCTCCTCTTTAATCTCAGTTTCCATAGGCAGATATAAAAATCTATCAGAGAACTGTTCTGAGTTTTAAGAGTTATCAGGAATAAAGTGAGCATTAGAGCCTATGTTATTTCAGAGTTTCCCACTAATTTTTTTTCAGATTTTTATTCTAGGAGGGATGAGAAGCCTTTGGGAAAAGGGAGACACAGGGCCTGATTTTACGTTGTGAAAAGATCACTCTGGTTTCTTCATCCAGCAAAGAGCACCGGAAATGAGAGGAAAGGAGTAGTTGGGGGAGGGCTAGTCACATGGCTGCCACAGCAACCCTGACCTGTTACATTTTAATTCCTTTTCACTGGATGAAAACACAGAGCTATATACAAGAAAAATAAAACCGGGTGGCCTTCTGACAAGTTTATCGTGTTCCTCTAGGGCACACGGCCCCATACCAAGGTCCGCAGTTACTGCTCTGCAGATAAAGTCATCTGGTCGTGCCAGTGCCATCTGACGCTCTGCCTTTGTTTGGTGGAGGAACAACTGCTTCCACGTCTGCGTGCCCAGCTTCTCAGACGTGAGGTTGCACACGCCCCATCTCTTCAGATACAGTGTTCTGTAGACAGTCACAGTCCCGTCAGGCTGCCCTCAGCTCCCGCCTCAGAGCCACTGCTACCCCTCAGGACCCCGCACTCTCCCGGACCTTGCCGCTTGCCTCCCTCGGCACAGGCCTGGGGAGAGCGCAGGTGTGACCTGCAGGCTAACGTGGCCTCTCCCTCCCCGCCGCGGCTGCCCCTTCCCCACTCACCTCCACAGGTGGTCACTGCCTGCAATCCTATTCCAACACTACGGAGGAGAGAAAGGAAGAGATGAGCAGGCTATCAGCACCCAAATGTGGGCTCCTCCCCTGCTAGCGTTTGCTCTGGGAGCTGGGCCCACACGGGTTCATCAGGATCCGGCTATCAAAGCTGGGGAGACAGAGATGGTAGCAGCAGAGACTATGGCTGCTAACACAGGCACTCCACATGCCAACCAGAGCTCAGAGGAAGAAGTGCTGATTTCCTAGGGCTTGAAATGGGAGCCTCAAGGACCGTGCAGGCCCAGCGAGGTGGCTCACGCCTGTAATCCTAGCACTCTGGGAGGCTGAGGCGGGCGGATTGCTCGAGGTCAGGAGTTCGAAACCAGCCTGAGCGAGACCCTGTCTCTACTAAAAATAGAAATTAATTGACAAACTAAAAACATATATACAAAAAAGAAAATTAGCCGGGCATGGTGGCGCATGCCTGTAGTCCCATCCACTCTGGAGGCTGAGGCAGTAGGATTGCTTGAGCCCAGGAGTTTGAGGTTGTGTGAGCTAGGCTGACGCCACGGCACTCACTCTAGCCTGGGCAACAGAGTGAGACTCTGTCTCAAAAAAAAAAAAAGGACTGTTCAGTCAGCACAACTTCTGTTTGTCAGCTGGTCCTTTGTGTTTAACAGACTACAAGCCCCTTGGGGTGAACAATGTGAACTCCCAGCTGCTCAACCATCCACCCCTGCTGTTTTGCAAATTGGTGCTCAAACTGCTCAAGAGAAGTGACTGAGCCTCAGGGACACTGGTATAGCAGAGCTCCATGGGTGGGTCTGAACAAGGTAAACTTAAGGAATGAAGGAAGGCTGTGTGGGTCTGGGCAGATGCTGCCTGGCCAAGATCCCATGGCTGGGGAGAGGGTGGCAGGGGCGTTGTGCAAGAACTGACAAGGCAGAGGGTGTGGGAAATTCAGACAGAGCAGCGGAGGGTGGGGAGCTTTTACCTTGTTCACTTGGGAAACCTGCAGCAAGCTGAACGGGTCCAGGAAGGAGAAGATCCGTGCAACTGGCAGGTCAGGCAATTGAGTCTCCATTTTACATGGCCGGAGCCCACATCCAACCCCTTCTCTTCTCCAGGTTGCTCTGAATTTAAAGGCTTGGCCAAAGTCTGCAGCACTTGTAAGAATTTCCACCCACAGCCCATCTGGCTCTGATAGAAACAAGCTACAGGTGTGTAGACCCCGGGCCTGGCCTCCACTTTGGCCTCTTCCCTGGGGCTGGATCCAAATTATCAGAGGAGGAAATCTGCTTGCCACGTTTGTGTGTCTACCTTGGGACATTGAATCTGGTCAGCAGGACCCCTCTCTCAGCGCGGTACAGCCTCTGGGTTTCTGCCTTTGTGCTGTTAACTTCTCCACAGAGGTCTCTGCTAAGGGAGACAGACTTCTGACAGACTTCAGTCTCTGCTAAGGTCTCTGTCTGCGGAGACAGACTTCTCCGCAGAGGTCTCTGCTAAGGGAGCAGGCCTTGTCTGAGATGGCTGTACGGTCAGTGTCCTGCCGTCACTTTCCCACGGTTGGGAATCTCCCCAAACCTGACAACTCATTCCACCATTTTCTATAGAAAGTATTATGGACTGAATAAGTTTGCGTCCTCCAAAAACTTATGTTGAAATTCTAAGGTGGGGCCTTTGGGAGGTAATTAAGTCTTAAAGACGGAGTCCTCATGGTAGGAATAGTGCCCTTATAAAAGAGACCCCAGAGAGCTCCCTCACCCTCCTCCTGTCCTGCGAGGCACAGGAAGTTGGCAGTCTGCAACCTGAGGGGAGAAGGCCCTCATCAGAACCTGACCACGCTGGCACCCTGATCTTGGACTTCTGGAATCCAGAACTGTGAGAAATAAGTTTCTGTTGTCTATAAGCCTGGTACTTTGTCTAGCAGCCTGAACTAAGACAGGGTCCCTCTGTGAGGCTCCGTGGTGATGGCTTCCCCTGTAAACTGCTGTGTCCAGCCTAACCCACAGCAGCGATTCTCCGAGGCATCATTTTTTTCTACAAAGTTATCTGTTCCATTAACTAAAACCAGAGTGGGCTGTTCAGTGATAATTAAATGCCCTCTATCTCAGAATTTGGAATAGAAAACTTTTCATATTAATAGGTCCATGAAATATAAACTTCTTTTCTATAGGGAGACCACATTTTTCATTTTGTTGAATTAGATCCATAGGAAACTTAGTTTGAAGAAAATATAGTTTAAAGAGAAGGAAACTAGACCAGGTGTGGTGGCTCCCACCTGTAATCGTAGCACTCTGGGAGGCCAAAGTGGGAGGATTGCTTGCGCTCAGGAGTTCGAGACCAGCCAGAGTAAGAGCAAGACCTACTCTTGCTAAAATTAGAAAATTTTACTCTACTAAAATTAGAAAAAAATTAACCAGGCAACTAAAAATATAAACAAAATGTTAGCCAGGCATGGTGGCATGTATCTGTAGTCCCAGCTACTCGGGAGGCTGAGGCAGGATGATCACTTGAGCCCAAGAGTTTGAAGTTGCTGTGAGCTAGGCTGATGTCACAGCACTCTAGCCTGGGCAACAGAGTGAAACTCTGTCTCAAAAAAACAAAAACAAAAACAAAAACAAAAAAAAACTAAAGAGAAGGAAACTGTATTGAAGAAAAACATCCTGGTTTAGAGAGAGATAAAAAGTCTTGATGGATCTTTTATATTAGTAATTCTAAGTCTTTCAATTTTCCTGAACTTTGCCATTTTAGTATTATAAAGTTAAAATAAAGCCTCTGATTTTGGTTTATCTAATTCAAATGAATGAACAATCCCTTGACTTTTCATTACCTTTAATACCAGCTAAAAGTCATATTAGAATTTATTAGACCTGGAAAATGAATGAAAAACTCTCTTTCATTTCTGCACACTACACGTCTCAAACCTGGCAGGGCCATGTTACCTCCAGGGCTTTTAGGAGTGCACCTGTTCCTTGCCTCTTCCGGTTGCTGGTGGCTGCCATGGCATTCCCGGCTTGTGGCAGCATCACTCCAGTCTCTGCTTTTCTTCCCATTGCCTTCTCATCTGTGTGTGTCTTCTCCCCTGTGTCTCTCTCTTACAAGGATACATGTGATTGTATTTAGGGCCCATCTAGACAAACCAAGATAAGTGCCTCCCCTCAAGATTCTTAATCTAGTCACATCTTTTGCCATATAAGGTAGTATTCACTCTTCTGTCATATAAGGTAATATTCACAGATTCCAGGGATGAGGGGAACATACCTTTTAGTGGGGACACCATTCAACCCACTACATGTATCAAATAAAGATACATATGCACATCCACTTTGGTTTTAAAGTCTATACTAATTTATTTTAGCAATATGAATACCCAGGCACTCTGAACAAAAGCGTACTAACATTCTTACCCAATTCCTAGTGGAAAGCAGTTCTATACTAGTGGAATGCAGCAGGAACAAAACCACCTATATTAAAGTAAGGTATATCCATAAGTCCATAAGGCAAGAACTGTGGTAGGAGTCTGATTTCTACAGAAGTATAGGCATAGCTAAAAGTTAACCAGCCATTGTCTATAGCTTGACTTCCTTTAATTGCTTACTGCTTAGAAGTCTTGTATCCCTGGCTATCACAAGATTGTAACTTCTCTAATCACTTCCACAGATAATATCACTATTGTAGAACCCAAGATTGATCTTTGAGATATTTCTCAGACTCTGCATTCCAGTGGACCAACTGATGTCAACCAGACCAGCAGCCACACTTAGGAACTGGCTCAACAGTTCCTGTGATCCTCTGCCTGGGAACTGACTCAGTGTAAGAAGATAATTTCTGCTTCCCAACCCCATGAGTTCATCCCCAGCCAATCAGCAGACCCAATTCCTTAGCCCTTTGTCTGCCAAACTATCTTTGAAAACCCTGACCCCAAAATTCTTAGAGAGGCAGGTTTGAGAAGTTTCTCCTTTCTCCTCACTCAGTAGTCTTGTGATATTAAACTCTCTCCCCTGAAACACCTGCTGTCTCAGTGTATTGGCTTCCTTCTGTGCAGCAAGCAATAGAACCCAGTTGGGTAGTATTAACAAGAAGGAGACTGCACGATGTCTGAGGCTAATTTTAAAATGGCCGTGTGTGCTTTACCAAGTTGTTTTGGAACACTTGCTCTTACAGTCTTCAGCTGCCATTGAAGAAATTTGGATACCCTGAGGCTTTCAGTGTGAGAGACTCCATCAAGAGAAAGAGGAAGAGGGATGCCTGAGAAGCCCCAGATACTCCAGCCCAGGCATCAGACGTGAGTAAGGAAGAGATGACTGGCCAGGCTCAGTGGCTCCCGCCTGTAATCCTAGCACTGTGGGAGGCCGAGGTGGAGGCATTGCTTGAGGCCAGGAGTTCAAGAAGAGATGACCACAGCCCCTGCCATCATCTGACTGCAATCACATTAGACCACAAGCAAGAATTGCCCTGCTAAGCCCAGACTCACAAGCAAAATACATGATGGTTATTGTTTTCAGCTAATGTTTTGGAGTAGTGTGTTGGACAGCAATGGGAGAAAGATCTTTTGAGGGTAGAGTCAACAGGATATGCTGATGGACTAGATATGTGCAAGTGAGAAAAAGACAGGATACAATTGTGACTCCAAGAATTTTGGCCTGAGCAGCTGATGGAATTATTCATATTGGCAACCAATTTTCAACATAGGTGACAAGGTAATGCAATGGGAAAGTGGTGTTCTTTTCAGCAAATGATTCTAGGAAATTCAAAAATCTGGATGGTTGAAAATAAACCTTGTGGCTGCGTGTGGTAGCTCACTGCCTGTAATCCTAGCACTCTGGGAGGCCGCTACGGGCAGATTGCTGGAAGCCAGGAGTTCGAAACCAGCCTGAGCAAGAGCGAGACACCATCTCTACTATAAATAGAAAGAAATCAATTGGCCAACTAATATATATATATATAAAAAAACCTTGTAAGACATGAAAAAGCATTTTATTTTATTTTATTTTATTTATTTTGAGACAGAGTCTCACTTTGTTGCCCAGGCTAGAGTGAGTGCCGTGGCATCAGCCTAGCTCACGGCAACCTCAAACTCCTGGGCTCAAGCGATCCTCCTGCCTCAGCCTCCCGAGTAGCTGGGACTACAGGCATGCGCCACCATGCCCGGCTAATTTTTTCTATATATATATATTAGTTGGCCAGTTAATTTTTTCTATTTATAGTAGAGATGGGGCTTGCTCTTGCTCAGGCTGGTTTGAACTCCTGACCTCGAGCAATCCGCCCACCTCGGCCTCCCAGAGTGCTAGGATTACAGGCGTGAGCCACCGCGCCCGGCCGAAAAAGCATTTTATCAAGGAAGATATACAGATAGCAAATAAGCACACAAAAAGACCATCATTAGCCATTAACAGGATGCAAATTAAAACCACAACAGACACCACTAAATTCTTATAGAAATGGTGAAAATAAAAACATATTAATAAGATGAAACATTGATGAGGCTGTGCAGGGACTGGATCATTCAAATATTGCTGGTGGAAATGTAAAATGTTATAGCCACTCTGAAAAGGTTTGGCAATTCCTTGTAAAACAAAATGTGCAACTACATGTGACTGAAGGAGCTCAGGAAGCTTCATGCCAAAATCTGATTCTTTGGTATAAAAGTATTTTGAATTACAGGCCCTTTGAGATCAAAAAAGTACTGGAGGGGGCTTTCCCCCGTCTGCATAAATTGGACTGACCTGATCAAAAGCCATGGCTCCTGGGTAGAGAGTTTCTTTTTGAAGTAATAGAAGGTTCTGGATTTAGAGAGTGGTGATGGTTATATAACCTCGTGAATGTAGTATAAACCACTAGATCATACACTTTATTTTTATTTTTATTTTATTTTTTAGAGACAGGGTCTTGCTCTATCACCCAGGCTGGAGCACAGCAGTGTGATCATAGCTCGCTGCAACATCCAACTCCTGGGCTCAAGCGATCCTCCTGCCTCGGCCTCCCGAGCAGCTGGGACTACAGGTGTGCACTGCTGTAGATGGGCGTCTCCCTATGTTACTCAGGCTGGTCTCAACTGTATACTTTCTTTTATTTTTTTTT